AAGCATGCTTGGCAGAACTGGCACAGAACAAGTACAAATCCTGAGAAAGACGTTTTCATTGAAAAGCAGTGACAGAAAACCAACACAAGCAAGTAAAAATTGTATTTTTGCTCACATAGGAGAATGCCATGTAACTGCTTCAGCAGGGAAAAAAAATGTAAGGATGAGAAAAAGCATGGGAGAAAGACACGGGGTGTGATTTCATTCTGTTCCCTCACGACTTGGCAAACGCTCCACAGCATCCTTACAGCACAGCAGAGCTGGATCAGACTCATCAGGAGGATTAACCCGAGATGCCTTACACATGATTCAACCGGGATGGATTTCTGAGTGCTGGATGAAATGGATTTCCATTTACGATCTGCTCCATGAAGTTAATTTGATAGGGATTTTGGCCACCATCCCTTAAACGACCACACATAGAATGCAATGGAGGCAAAAAGTACAATCTGTCCAATGAAGCAGAACATGCCTTAAACTAATGAAGGGACTGAACACTGAAGTTATTGGTATACATTTGATAGTTAGGTCCTAATATGTATTATATATTCACACTTGCGTACCACAAACGCAACACCTGCCCCCTCCATCACAACGGCAACAGATGCCACTTGCGCTTTTTTATGGCATCATAAAATAATCTCTATGAATACGGACTCAAGTTTGAAGAATATCTGCTTCTCTTTACATTTATATACAAATGTAGAATACGGCTTAGGATCCTTAAGGTTAAGTGTTAAGTGTTTGTTATCTCTGCCAATGGTGTTGAAAATACAGGTCAAGAGATGAGAGAAACCCAGGCTCAGATTTTATCGACCGTGCCCTCAGAAGAGCCGAGATGAGTGAAGTGCCTGGAAATGATCTCAGCGCATTACCACACACACACACTATTAAAACACTTACCATTAAAACAGTGCTATGACTGTCTAGAGTTTGTGCATGTCAATATCCATCACTTAATGCGAGTCATTTGAAGTCGGCACTTTGTTTTCTTACCTGTTAAGGAAGGACATGCTAACAGCAGAGTTCAGACAAGGTCGGTCTTTCGTAGCATGAGCAAACCTTTTAAACATTCGTGATTTAATATCCACAGAAAAGATCAAGCCCTATGACATTCTCCCTTAAAAACAATATCAAAAAGATTTTAAAAAAAACACTAGATGTGAAGAATTACGACCATATCTCCATTTCTGTAACCGCTCAATTGCAGTTTGCTTAGTTTTAGGGGCTGTTTCTTTTATTACACGTACCCGATGTCTAATTACGCTCTATCTGATACACCACACACGCCACACCTGCCACCTTCATCGCCTCGGCAACAGATGCCAATTTCCCTATTTATGACATCATAAATTAATCTCTGTGAACTACAGACTCAAATTTAAGGGAAATCTCCTCCTCTTTTCATTTTCAGACACAACACACGCGATCAAAGAGCCAAAACAACACGGACAAGTGGAAATAATCTCAGTAAACTGCACGAGTCATGTGTCGTTCCGCCACATTACAGGAAAATAAACTTCTAGAAGTCTCAAGAGGCTTTGAAATGCATCTGTATTGTTTGTGAGAAGGATGTGACTTGATTATTCTGTCACACATATGATAGATGAAAAGCACATGGAAACAGTGAGAGAAAAAAAGTAATGGGTAAAACTCAATCTATTATACAGCCTTTAAATTGATTTGTTACAGATTTGAAATGTCCTGTCCGTCCAAAGGGAGCTGCTGCGAACTAAGAGACAAAGATAGATCCAGAGGTGCTGATGGGAGGGAGAGATCCTTAAGAGAAGGACAGAGAGAGGGGAAAACATGACCTACTTCTGCTCTGTCCCTTGTTTCTATGGATAATGAGAGGAGAGAGTGGAAAAGTAGCAGGAGGGCAGAATGTGTTGAGAGAGATGCGCCAACAGGAAGTTACTCTGGTGTTGAATGGACTCTGAATACTAGCTAACTACTTATTGACTACTTTTAAAAATAATAATAAGTGAAATAGGTATCATGCAATGTTAAATTATTTAAATTTTAGTATGCTACATTACTGTCAGAAGACTTTACATTGCATGTGGTTGGCAATGCATCTAGTTATCAACTTATGAATAATAAATAAATAATAATATAATTATAATATTTTTGTAAATACGTATTAAACAATCACATGTTATCAAATATTATTCAGGTATTGAAAAAGAAAAAAATATAACACTTATTTTATTTTTATATAATGTTTATTTATATAATGTTAATCAAATAAGAAATGTTATCAAATATTGATTAGAAAATAGATATTAACAATAGATGCTTCTCACTGGAAATGGAAGGGCTGACCGCATTGTGTTGTGGGATACAGTATTCCATGCAATGTGCAAATTTTAAATGTATTATAATTTCATATAAATATAAGTCTTTTTAAAAAAAAAAGTCTATATAAACAAATCAGATCTAAAATTCAAATATGAAAAATAATAAAAACATTCAGAACATTATTATTTTTTTATTATTTAAAAATAATAAAAATCAAATAAAAAAATTTGATCAAATGATTAGAAAAAAGATATTAACAATAGATCCATCTCACTGGAAACGGAAGGTCTGAACGCATTGTGTTGTGGGATACAGTATTCCATGCAATGTGCATTTTGGCAAATTTTAAATGTATTATAATTTCATATAACTATATATATATATATATATATATTATTTTTTTTTTGTGGTAAAAATGTCTGTATAAACAAGTCTGATATCAAATTCAAATATAAAAAATAATAAAAACATTCAGAACATTATTTTTAAAATGTTATATAAAAATACTAAAATATAAATCAAAGAATTTGATCAATTCAGGATTTAATGAAGAGATTATTCCATATATTCAATACAGAAAATGTGCACACCGTATCGTATACATATAGTATGCTGTTCGGAACAATGTTTTTGTAATTCCGTTTGGTGTCGCTAGTAGCGCAGAAATGATGCAGTGTATCTTTAAACAGCCACCATTAGCTTGTTTAAAAGTGTTTTATAATTATGGACTCAAATGGATGTCTGCAGAGTTTTTCCCCGTCAGCCAGTCTGACATTAGAGCTTTTCAGGAAATCTGAAAAATTAGACTCTACTCTAGACATGATTTTGGAGAACTGCTTATCTTGATGATGTCATCCTGCAGTTTAGCCATATTGCTCATAATGTGGTCAAACATTGATCACCTTGTTAAGGAGAAATGAGAAGAGTAATTTACGCACATTACCATGACACACACCTGCTTGTGGTGAGAGGGAGTTTTCCTAAGGGCACTGTGCTCATCATGTGTCTCTCTAAGCCTCTTTCTCTTCCTGTTTTCTTCTTATCCTCTATCTCTGCCAAGGGCCATAGAAACATCTCCAAGAAAAGGGACATTTCAGTGTTCGCAAAAATAGTACAAGCGAAAATGAACAATGTCTCTCCTCCTGTCTTCGTTCCTCCCTCCCTCTCTCTCTCTCTCTCTCTCTCTCTCTCTCTCTCTCTCTCTCTCTCTCTCTCTCTCTCTCTCTCTCTCTCTCTCTCTCTCTCTCTCTCTCTCTCTCTCTCTCTCTCTCTCTCTCTCTCTCTCTTCTATCACTCTCTCTTGTGTTGTTTTAGTGTTCTTCTTTGTCTGGCACATGTTCTGCTCAGTAGAAGAATGAAGACTACTGCAGGAAGAGGTCTGCATTAACATAACAAACCCTCAAGGGATGATATCTGATTAAAGGCAGGGCATCGCTGCATAAAAGAGACATCGCACTCAAGAGCCTCGATCTCTCCCTTCCCTTCCTATCGGCTTTCTATCAGTCAGTATGATAAACAATTCACTCAAGCACTAGATTGGGGTTGGAGTGGGAGAACTGGGGCTAAACCAACACTTTTCAAGCAGACCACTACACCACATCATCAAAAAAAGATAAAAAGGATAACACCAAAACCTTTCAACAGCTCCAGATAATTATTGATGTTTTTGTAACAGTCACTACTACAGTTTAATATGCTAACAGTTGCTACTACACCTACTTATCAGTCACTGGTAAATCTACAGATTTGTAACAGCTGTAGATATTCATCATAACAGTCACTACTATCCACTAAATATGCTTACAGTCACTATCACTACAACTGCTAACGTGCTAACAGTTAGCTAAATGCTAACAGTCGCTATTAGGGCTACTTAATCATTCAATCATTTATTCAGGAACAAAAAAAATTAATTTAAAGAGAAGGGTTAGACAATGAAAAATGTATTTGCTATTATATAAAATAATTAACAATGTTCAGCTCTTATGTACCTTAGAAACAGCAACATTTTAAAATTTTATTACAATTTAAAATAACTGTTTTTCTCTTTAGTACATCTTAAAGTGTAAATTATTTCTGTGCCTGCAAAGCTGAACTCAGTGTCACACGATCATTCAGGAATTATTCCAATATGCTGATTTGGTGCTCACGTACTGTAACAATCCTTATTATTATCAATGTTGAAAACAGTTGCGCTGCTTAATGTTTTTTTCAGGATTATTTGATTCAAAGTTTAAAAGAACAGTATTTATTTGAGATATAAATCTTCTGTAACATTATAAATGTCTTTACTGTCACTTTTGATAAAATTAATGAATCTATGCTGAATACAAGTATTCATTTGAAAAAAATTACAGTTGAGGATTTTTATTATAATTAAAAAATAGCTTCACAGATTGTTTTTAAAACTCATCTGCAGTTGTTGCTCACTGCAGCTGCAGGCACTTATCGCAACAGTCTACTTGCCCGTTTTCAAGTGTACGACATCCACAACTTCAGAGTTATTTATGCAGCCCTCAAACATAAACAACTCTAAAAACCCTAAAAAATGAGTTCGCTATTTGCCATAAACAAGATCTATCATGAAATGCACTCATCCCACAAACAGACCATAAATCTGAAGAAAGTGGGTTAAACACATTAAGAATCCAAGCAGATGTCATCATTCAAGCTGGAGAGAACTAGAGACTTTAACTCACCCTGTTAAAGCGCTTGGCCTGGAAGAGGTGTCCGTTCACCCGGTACAGCTTCCTCCATCGTCTAGCTCCACGGCGATAGATCGATTCTAGGAGAGAGAGGAAACGGTTGTATAGGAGCAACATCGAGACTCGAGGAATGAAAAACAAATCAATCCCAACATGGAACGAGGGAAGAGGACGAGAGACAGAAGAAGGGAGATGAACAGAGGTGTGGCTGGTCTTGACCCCGAGTGAATGTGGACGAATTTCAACTGCGACTGGATGAAAACATGCCCCACTCAAAAGCAACGGGAAAAAGCTATCCCTCCCCTCTCTCTTGCTCTCTTTCATTGCTTCAGATTCTCCATCTGACCCACCCTCCTCTTCTCACTCTCTCGTTTCTTTTCTCTTGTCGATCTGTTATTCCCTGCAGCATCACTTTGGTCACATGGTAACTGTCTGATGTAAAAGTGACAAGCCTCTAGATTGACCTAAATAGGTTCAACCACGATGAGACTTTGATCTGCTGCATCTCTGGGGTTTTGTCTTTATGTCTCATCACCTTGACCTTTATGGGAGGTTTTTGAGTTTTTACGTACACACACAGACTAAAATACTGACTGCAACTAACTTCACATACTATAAACCCATATGCAAAACTAAGATTCATGTGTCCAAAAGAGTGAAATAGTATGCCAAATTCCATTGTCCATACATTCAATGAAAGTCAATAGGGTCCAAAACAACCCTGAGACATTTTCAATCTTTTTCTGTTCCACAGAAGAAAAAAATGACAGAATTTTCATTTTTGAGCGAACTATCCCTTCAAGTATCACATTTAGTAGATGAATTGCTGCTTATAAATGAAAACAATGTGGACAAAACCAACATTTTAAATGGTATTTATCACTAAATATACAAATGATATTGCTCTTTTAAAGAGTTTAAATACAATTCTCTCTCATTGTCCATACAATGAAAGTCAATGAGGTCCAAAACAACACTGGACACTACTGACTTTCACTGTATGGGCAAATAAAACAGACATTTTCAATATTTTACTGTTCCACAGAAGAAAGTAAGACATGTTTAGAACGACATGAGGGTGAGCAACTGTTATTGTCTAAAAAAGTATCATCTTTAGTGACAATGATGTTGACAGAACTAAATCATCAATGGAATCTATCACTGAGGATACAATGATATTGCATAAATAATGGCATTTAAACCCTGAAAGACCCATATTGTCCTCGCTGGTGACCCACAGGTACCTCAGATACCCCAATATCGCTATGTCATTATGCTTTTATCTAATGTTCCAGTTGAGTTGGCAGACCTTTTTTTCAAGCATAAGTGAGAGGCTGAGAATTGTGCTCGAGCCCTGGAGATTTGCTCTGTCTGCTGCCGTTTCATGTTTCTGCCCTCAACTGCAGCTCAGTTACGTAAAACCGATAAATATTGAAATATTGTCGAAACTTTCAAGTGTCAGCCACTAATGAGCACCGGAGGAGATTCAAAGGCCTGGGACGCTTGTGTGTATGAGAGAGAGATCTAAGTAAAATGAGAAATTGAAAGTCTGTGTTAAGCCTTCAGAAACTACTGTGTGGCATAAAGCAAAAGCAGTACTTGAATATTAAAACATAACACCACCAATAACAACATATATTCAGCTTTGGAGTGTACTAAACCGAAATGAACACTCATCGCATAAAAACACACCACACGCATCCAGACATTCAAAGTGTCGCTTGCATCAAAACTACACAACATGAATCATTTATTAATAGAACATGATAAAGCTGTAACTCACACAGTCTTCCAGAGGAATAACTGATGCCCCAACAGACCAGTTAGACATGAGGAGAGGAGCACATTTTTAAACTTTAACATCAAACCCCATAAGGCCAAAAAAACAAAAATCTGTAGTTTTTTCTTGTGTGGATTACATAAAGAAAATCTTGCTAAATTATATGATTACTTGATATATAATTCATAATTTACTAATACTATTTCTTACTGATCATATCATGGAACACAATAACATGATGTTGAAAAATTTGAATCCTGTTCCTTAAGAACCATGCTCTTGTCATTGGTCAGAAAAACATAATGGCCCCGCCCAAAAATCACACCATTGGTTGAGCCAAAGTTGCTGTTGTCGGGCTGGTCAAACAAACAGAGCAATGTTTTGATGGGGCCACAGAGCAACAGTGTTTACACTTGTTGGGGTAATCAACCTTTAATTAATGGCTTAATTACTTTTGTCTGCATATTAAGCTATAATTACATATTAAGCTGAGAAAGGATTAAAAACAATGTCAAATTTCACCATTTTAAAGTGACATGCCTGGTTAAAGGTACAATAAAACACTAAAATTACTGATATTTAAATATCAATAAATAGTCAGCATCTTGGTCTGCCTTGATGACAGACAGTTCATGCAATAGTAAAGCTGATTATTATTATTATTTTCAAAGGTGAATAGTAGCAAAAATACCCTGTTAACCCTATTAATATGGCTGTGTCGGAAATCGCCCCCTATACCCTTAAATAGGGCACTATTTGAGGGGACAGCCATTTATAGTGGTGTCTGAAACCATAGTGGATGTTATCGAGTGCACTCATTCAATCCCACAATGTACTACAATAATGTGTGTACAACCGGCTAGAGAATACCCATAATGCAATGTGAGTCGCACTCCGAATGAATTCCCACATCTGACCAGAAGATGGCGCTCGCAGCTGAATCCTCCATCCATGCATTTTCGAAACCGCTGATCCAATGTGGCTACACGTAATATCATCAGAGCCGGACAGTAACGGAGTACATTTACTTGAGTACAGTACTTAAGTACAATTTTGAGGGATCTGTACTTTACTCAAGTATCATTTTTGGGGAGTACTCATGACTTTACTCAAGTACATTTGAGAGGCAAATATTGTACTCTTTACTCCAATACATTTCTATCCATAACCGTGAGTACACGAGTAAAATAAAAAAATAAAAATCTCGGAAACCCTCAATTTGTTGTTTCCATCTCAAACGTGATTGGATTGTGCAGGCGCCACTGATTGGGACAGCCTATCAGCAATCACTTTCAGCTTTCCGCCAAAGTCAACTCCATGGTCAGATTTTATATTACACATTAATGTAAGCCAAGCATTTGGTTTGATGTTCTTGAGTATGTGGTGTGTTTAACACAGTCAGGTTCAAATGTGGCAGTGGCGTAGCCACGAGGGATTTCTGATTTCTTAAAAAAAAAACTTTAGGAGGCAAAATATATTTTTACTGATTATGTGAATTACACTGCGCAAACCAAAGTAGGCTACTACCCAGCGAATGAAGAAGGGTTGGCGCTCAGTCTCCACAGTACATAAAATATTCATTTTGTTTTATTTTATTTTTCCGGTTTGCATTTATGAGGAAAAAACAATCTTATGGACGTGTTCTCCGTTACGGACGTGAGCGCTCTGAAAGCGGCATAAAAAATGCTTTAAAACTTTCACAGAGACATCAAACAGAAAACACAAAACCTTTCTTTAACCTGAATTTCGTTTTGCATTAATTGTATCTTAATTTTAATCAATGTTTCATCAACCAATTGCCTGGGTTTAATAAATAAGAAGTAAATAGCAGACGATAGATAAGAAACGGAGGCGCCGGCGCGTGAACTGGATCTCGTCTCATAAATGAACCGAAACTCAGTGTATAAGGTAGCCTACTTGCCTCTCACAGACATGTCTACTTTTAAACAGAAAAAATCAAAACGAAAGAAAACAGACTACAGACTGCTCTCTGCTTATGTAATCCGTATGAAATGTGCATTTCTCTCTGGCGCGTTCACTACTGAAGATCGCGAGTCAGCATCGTCAACTTCATCTAGCCGACACTGACAAAGAAAACACTTGTTTATTAACAAGTGTTTATTAATAAACAATTAAAATATCTCCTTGCTATATTTTACATATTCATAATCATTCCTTTTGCCGGTTCTTTGTGACAGCTTTTAGGTGCTTTATTGGCAGCGCCACCCTTACATGTGGTGTGTGTGTGTGTGTGTGTGTTGTCCCCGCATTTAAAGATGGGACCCCCCAAAAATGTAATTAAATTAAATAAAGCAACATGGTAAAAAGATGAAAATGACTTGATTTTACTTTCAATTCCTTTTACATTATCCAAGGTATTAACATTTTTCATAACTCCATGTAGGACGTTTCTGTGCATAAATGTAAGTACTGTGGCAGTAGATTAGTAATGCAATATTTAGAAAATCTACTCTTGTACTCTTGATACTCAAGTAGTTTTAAAAACAAGTACTTTAGTACTTTTACTTAAGTAGACATCTGAATTTAGTACTTTTACTTGTACTTGAGTAAAATTTAGCAAGGGGTATCTGTACTTTTACTCAAGTAACAAAGCTCTGTACTCTGTCCGCCTCTGAATATCATACAGGTATAAATTCCTTTTTAATTGATTATTAAAGTTTAATTACAGTTTATACATATTAGTTTCCATGACAGAGTTCAAGATAAATCTTTTCATTACTACAGGAGCTGCAAGTTTCTTAAGTTTCAAATAATTACTAAACCGCAAGCACAAATTATGCAAAAGCGGTAGGTCTTCCAGTGCACTCAGTGTCTGAATTCACTCGCTTGTTTTCATTCACTCCCTCAAATGAACTATATTAGTGGACTCATGTAGGGAATAGTGAATGAGGGTATAGGGGGCAATTTCGCACACAGCGCTTGACTAATAATGGACCTTTATAAAATGCTACATAAGTAAAAAACATGGCACCCTTAAATTTATATATTTCTTAGTGCAAGTTATTATACTCTACCTTCTTCCAGCAAACAAAACAATTCACAATGTTCTTCTCCTTCATCAAACCAGAGGCAGACTTCAACAGAACTACAAATGATCATCCCCCTCACAGAGCACAATAACAGCTGCTCAGGAAACAGCTACGTGTTTGCTATCATAATCATTCAGATGGGCACCGAAACACCTGTTCTTCAACCTGTTAGTGTGTAGGTCTAAAGCCCTGCCCCCGACATCTTGGCTCAGGAATTGGCCAATGGCCACACAACAGAACTTAATTTCTC